GAGAGAGAGAGAGAGAGAGAGAGAGAGAGAGAGAGAGAGAGAGAGAGAGAGAGAGAGAAAGAGAGAAAGAAAGAGAAGAAGAAGAATAATCGGAGAGAATAAAATGAGCTCGTTCCTGATGAATCCATCCGCCGGCGGTGGATATCATCACCACCATCACCACCAACACCAGCACCAGGCGGCCACCAGCCACCATTTGGCGGCCACCTCGGTCATGGTTGACCCAAAGTTCCCACCCAGCGAGGAGTACAGCCAAAGTAATTACATACCGTCCACGGGGGCCGACTTCTTCCCACCGGCCACCGGTGGTGGCCACCACCTGAACCACCCGCAATCCCATCAATTGCAATACGGCTATCACCAGCACCACCACCAGGCAGCCTCCACCCCGTACGGCGCCTCCTCGGCCGTCCAGTTGAACGGCGGTTACGCGGGATACGGCGGCTACTACGGGCCCCATCATCCCCATCACCAGGTGCACGCCGTGCACCACGCTAGCTTGCATCCTCATCACCACGCGGTGGGCGCCCTGGCGATGCCGCCCGAGGCGCAGCAGCCACCTCTCACCTGTCCATCCTCGATGCAGCAACAGCAGCAGCAACAGCAGAACCAGCAACAGCAACAACCGCCCGTCTCCGCGTCAACCGTGCTCGGCTCCACCCCGTTGTCGCCCACCGGCATCATGCAGAATCACGTGCAGCCGCCGGACGGCCTCCAGCATCACCAGCAACCGAGCCAGCAATCGGCACACGAGGGAACCGCGTGCAGCCCGCCGAGCTCCGGCCAGCTTCATCGCGACAATTCGCCCGATCTGCAACCGACGACCGCCGGCCAGCAGCAGCAGCAGCAGCAACAACAACAGAGCCAGCAACAATCGCAGCAGCAACAACATCACAACGTGGTGGACGATGGATCCGATCAGGACGACGTGGAGGACGATCAGATGATGGACGGGTCGCCTGGGATGATGGAGGAGGAGGAGGAGGACGAGGAGAGCGGGGACCGCGTGATTTATCCGTGGATGAAGAAGATTCACGTAGCCGGTGTCGGTGAGTTGAAATTTTCCCGTAAATTCCCGCCCGTTCGTCGTGCGGTTGGTGGTGTGTCGTGGCCCAATTTAGACGTTCGACCGAGGTTGATCGAGTCGATTTGATAGTCGAGGATTGGAGGACAGGTTTGGATAGATGATGGAGACGAGGGAGAGGGTGATCCGACGGAACGCCGTCACGCCGTTTCGTTTACTTTTGCTCGCTAGAACGTATCGTAATTTTCTTTACTTTCGTGGTCGATGTTTGTTTTTCTCTCTTTGTTCTCTCTTTGTTCGAATTAACAAACGCATCGAAGAATTCGTAAGCGGATTTCTCGCTGGTGGGGAAGAAGTAGCTAGGTGTTGGCCGCAAGGTGATGCGGTTACCGTGGAAGAGTGATGGGCCCCGATTTATCGTTGCACCTTTCCCTCTCGATCAACCTGCGCGCTTTTAGATTTTAGAAGCCTGTCCATTTACCGCTCGTTCGGTTACGCCTGGTGTCGCTATTCTTCATCCCGTACCGCGCGTCAACTTGGAGAAATGGGCGAGCGTTTTAAGGACGACTCTAAACACGCGTTAGAAAAACGGACAAATCGACGGGAAGTTTGTCTTTATTGTCCGGGGGGGGGGGGGAGCGATCGATCGACACGATCGTGCAACGCCGCTTCGATAATTCCTTTCCTCGTTTGCCACCTGTGATCCTGCGACTCGAGTTCACAAGGAGGAGGAAGAACTGTTCGTGAAAGTTTTTTCTTCTTTCTTTCTTTCTTTCTTTCTTTCTTTCTTTCTTTCTTGAACTCAATTTTTATAGATATTATATAATTGCGAGATTAATCAATCGTGTTTAATTAATAATTTTCAAATTTTCGTTATCATTAACATGAAATATATCGTTACCAAAGACAAAGTTCTATTTTCGAAAAGGGAAGAAAAAAAGAAAAGGTTGGTATTATCTTGGGCTTAGAGCAGGCGAACGGTTTTGCCCGATACAGAGAGCGGTTGGAAAACAGTTTATTGGGAACGTTTCGATAAAAATGGCGTGAGTCGAGGGTTCCTGTCCGCGGGAGGCATTTCGCAGAGGGATTATGAACGTTCAAAGGGAATTTTTGCAACGTAATATCCCAGAGAATTGGGCTGCCTTTGCAGCCTCGAATTTCTATTCCCGGTTTTGACCGGGGAAAGTGGCTGTTCATTCCAGCTTGCAACTATTTTCGCTTTTAACTCCGTCCTGTACCGGATAGTATCGCCGCCGAATATCATAATTCATATTTCCAGGTATACAAAAAAAAAAAAAAAAGGCGGTGTATCGCCGATGAAAAAGAAACGTGTAACAGTAGGTAGGGCGTGTATATACGAGTTTTTAACGGGACGTATCACCGCGTGTTGTGTCTAAATTTCTTTGGAACGAAGAATATACGTGCATATGACGATAACAGGGAGGAAAGGTTTTGAAAAATTTTGGATAATATACGATTTCGATGGTGAAAAGATGCAATTCTTCAAGCCTTTTAACATTTGATCCTATAATATATGTTTAATATATACTGTGGACGGATGATTGAAATTGATTATACATCCATTTGAATAAAAAGTGGTATAAATCTTGTCAAAACAATGTATATTTTTAGTAATTATTGCAAGATGATATTATTTTCTATCTCTGTTCTACGAAAAAATTCACTAAATTTAACAATTCTCATCAAGTATTACTTTATTTATCTCAAAAAATTCCAATTAAAAAAAATCTATTTTATCAATATTTATTAGTTTTGAAAGGTTTGAAAATTGTATGTAATGCTCAACCAATAGAAACTCTTACAAATTAAATCCAGTCCAATACTAAAAATATAAAAAGAAACAAATACTTTCCTTGATACGTTATATCATAACCTTTACTTCTTTCAATCAACAATGAAATTTCATTCTCAAAAAACATTAAGAACCAATTATTACTTTATTTCTATCTCAAAAAATCTAAAGATTTTCAATTAAAGATCTAAAAATCTTATCAATATTTACTTGTACAAAAGATTGAAAATCATAAATTCAACAAATTAAATCCAATCCAATACCAAAGATATAAAAAGAAACAAATTCTTTCCTTTTACTTCTTTCAACCAACAATGAAATTTCATTCCTAGAAAATCAATAGAAATACTTATAAATTAAATACCAAAAATATAGTCCTGATAACATAATCCTACTAAAAATATAAAAAGGAACAAATTCTTTATTTCTATTTCAAAAAATTTCAAATAAAATTCTATCCTGTCAATATTTACTTGTACAATTATATAAATCCAATAGAAATATTTACAAATTAAATCCAATATTAAAAATGTACAAGAGAATTTCTTTCCTTGATATATCATATCCATAACCTTTACTCTTTCAACAATGAAATTTCATTCCAAAAAACTGATTCCCAATCATTACTTTATCCCTACCTCAAAAAATTCCAATACTTCCAAGTGTTGGAAATCTATCCAATAGAATCATATTTATAAATTATAAATCCAAAAACTAAAAATATAAAAAGAAAGAAAGAAATTCTTGATATATCGTATCATAACCTTTACTCTTTCAGCCAACAATGAATTTCATTCCCAAAAAACTGATTCCCAATCATTTATCTCTATCTCAAAAAATTCCAATATTTTCTATTGGAAATCTATCCAATAGGAAATATTTATAAATTATAAATCCAAAACTAAAAATATAAAAAGAAAGAAAGAAATTTTTGATATATCATATCATAACCTTTATTTTTTCAGGCAACAATGAAATTTCATTCTCAAAACACTGATTCCCAATCATTACTTTATCTCTATTGGAAATCTATCCAAAATATTTATAAATTATATATCCAAAAACTAAAAATATAAAAGGAAAGAAAGAAATTCTTGATATATCGTATCATAACCTGTATTCTTTCAGGCAACAATGAAATTCCCAATCATTACTTTATCTCTATTGGAAATCTATCCAATAGGAAATATTTATAAATTATAAATCCAATAACTAAAAATATAAAAAGAAAGAAAGAAATTTTTGATATATCATATCATAACCTTTATTCTTTCGACCAAACAATGAAATTTCATTCCCAGAAAAGAATCTCTCCCCCTCCTCTCCCCCCCCCCGTTCGACGAGCTCGAGACGAATCTACTCTACTCGAAGAGGTCGTGTCATTTTTATCGTCAGCAGTATCATTTTCGCGGACAACACGATCCTCGAGTTCGACGTCCAGCAAAGTCTGGTATGCGCGTCCGTCGGCCTGTCGAGGACTGCAATCTCTCTCTCTCTCTCTTTCTCTCTCCCTTCTGAACCGCTGTTACGAGGAGGGACCGTCGGTCAGCCACGGAATGGAATGCGTCTGCACAGATTCTAAACCGTACTCGGTGCTTCCTCTATCGTGGTTCTGGACCACCAAGAAACGCTTCTAGGCATCCTGAGGAGGATTGACGTTCGTCCGTGATACGAACGGGCAATGGATCGATGCACGACCTCGCATCACCTTCGTTTCGTTTCGTGCCTCGATCCTGGACGAGAGATACGATGCTTCGCTTTGATATCGGATCTCGTCTCTGTGGAAATGGCGGAAATGTTATTGCGAGAAGGTTAGGGATGGAGATTGATAATCGAATTTGGAAAAGAAACGAAGGAGGAATTAACGTGTGAGAGAAATTCCAGAGCGGAATGGAGAAAGATGTTAAATAATTGGAAAATAAATAAATAGATGATATTTCGTACGACACGTTAAAAAAGATTGATGAAGTAAAGGACAGCTTGCTTGTGCAACAAATGAAATGTAACTATGTGTGAATGAAAGAATGATAATAACTGTTTGGCACATTAGATAAAGAAAATTGAATAATATATATATGCGGAGACTCTCCGTGTTTTACGTCCGCTGTGTACGTCCAAAGATTTTTGCAAACACTTATCTTCTGAACGTTTTCAAAATCTAGATGTTGCCAGATATCTATCATATATAAGGCAAAACGTGTGAAATATATATTGATTTCAAACGTTTATAAAATTTTTCATAAAGAAAAATAACGAAATGAATATTAACCAGAGAGAGAGAGAAAGAGAGAGAAAGAGAGAGAGTCTCTTTGTTACGCATCGCCCGCAGCCAAGTAATTCAATCCAATTTCGACGATCATCTGGCAACACGGCCTTGAAACAATCGGCCTCCGCCGATTGTGAAATCCAAAGCCGGTTGTTCCACGCGTCTCTTCGTTGCACGTGTCGTACTTTTCTTTATCCATGTACATTATATGTTGCACAAAGTCGATCGAGACAACAGCGCAAGACTTAAAATAATTATCGGTTGTCAGGTCGGTCGAAGCACGAGTTTTCAGAATTTGCAACAAAATTTTCAACCATCGTCATAGATCAAAAACTTGCTTGGACATTTAAGTTATTAATTATCCGTTAATTTCCTATATGTATGTATGTATATATTTTTCTTTTTTTAATGGATAGGCTATTTTGGGATCAAATTTGAAAAAATTACATTTTATTGCGCTTTTCCACTTTGGTTATTAAATAACCATTTATTCGTCCGTTATTATCACTCGTTGGATTATTCTTGGCTATTTATTTCTATATACGCGTACCTGACAAATAGAAAAATATCGATTCTCGCGTATTGAGCAAAGAGAGAGAGAGAGAGAGAGAGAGAAGAAAAAAAAGTACGCGATAACATCGGCGTATAATTGCTTGTATAATTGCTCGGGTATTTGTGCTGTGCTACTTCGTAATAATAGACGAGGTCGAAGCCATTACTTGATATTTACTAAAACTCGATGGTCTAAAAAAGAAAAAATAATAAAAAAACCAATTGTGTTTATCGTGAGCAATGGATTTTATTCTATTTTTTCTTTTCTCTTCTTTTTTTTTTTTTTATTTTTTTAAATAAGTTTAATTAACTTTCGGAACGACCGACGGGGACCGGTGGTTAACTTTTCGAAAACGCTCGCGTCATCTTGCCGTTTCGTAAAAAAAAATAAAAGTTTTAAAAGTTTTAAAATTCGCGTTGTTGCCAGATTCCAGAAATTTCACGATCCCGGCAATTCCTCCCTCGCTCGACGACGATATTACATTGTCGAATCGCAACACGATCCCTCCCACGAACCAGTTAACGAAATTAACTCCGCCCCCGATCTCTGTTTCGATTATTTCAGCGAACGGCTCGTACCAGCCCGGGATGGAGCCTAAAAGGCAGAGGACCGCGTACACGAGGCACCAGATCCTCGAGCTCGAGAAGGAATTCCATTACAATAGGTACCTGACGAGACGGCGACGGATCGAGATCGCTCACACCCTGGTCCTGTCCGAGCGGCAGATCAAGATCTGGTTCCAGAACCGTCGGATGAAGTGGAAGAAGGACAACAAGCTGCCCAACACGAAGAACGTGAGGCGAAAGAACGGCGGCCAGCCGGCGCCCGCCGCCGCCGCCGCCGCCAAATCGTCCAAGGGGGGCTCGGGCCCCTCGAGCAGGCCCAAACAACTGTCCAACAACAACAGCCAGACCAGGAAGAACAACAACAACTCGCCCTCGATGGCGGAAACCGGGATGGACTCGTCGCAGCAGCAGCAGCAGCAGCTGGGCCTCGCGGACCCATTGGGCCCCGACGTGCACGCCGCTCTTCCGCATACGAGCGTCGTCCACCCGAGCTTCCAAGGCCACCCGCACCCCCTCGCCCATCTCCAGGCCCAGCTTAGTCATCACCACGTGACCGGGATGATGGAGGGGCCCCCGTTGGGCCACATCGGCTCCGGAAGCATCAGCCCCCTCGCCCCGGCCACCAGCCCCTCCTCGGCCCTCCAGGTCTCGGCGCCCATCCACCCGCCCCCGATCAAGTCCGACTACGGCCTCACCGCCCTGTAACATCCGCCCCCGGACAACAGGATTCTTCGCGTTCTCGGCCAACCCTCGTGGACGGTGGCCAAGGCATCGGCAGCCGCGTTCGGAAGCAGAGAAATTACGTGTTAGGAGGCCGTCGTGTCGTCGAGTCGTCCTTCTTTTCGTTTTCTTCTTCTTCCTTTTTTTTTTTTTCTTCCCCGTTTCCCCTCCCCCTTTTTTTTTTCAATCGTAGCGAAAGGAGGAACGAAAATTCGTTCTCGTTCCGAGGGAAAGGTCCCGTATCGAGGAGGGCGCTGAGTCATCCGGTATGAAACAAACGATCGCCGCAAGTTTTTTTCATACCTCGTCGTTCATGCGCGTCTCTCCGTCGTCACGTCCAATCATCGTCTCACGCGCCTCTGCTCGAGAGAGAAAGAGGGGAGGGGGGGGGGCGGCGACGGCGTGCGGGGATCCATCCACCTGGAGCGTGGATGAGTCGCGTGGTGCGCGAAGCAAAAATTTTCCGCTCTCACTTTTTCCCCGATCCGGATGGGGAAAAGGACGGTTGGCGTTGCTCGATATCGGATCGATTCGATCGTACGTGTGCACATGTATAATATATACACGCGTGAACAACGCGCGCATGTACATAGTCGTGTAAAGGAAGAGCCGCTGTTATCGCTAATAACAATGTGATTTAACCGCATTCGTAATATTAAGTGCGCCGCTCTTTTAACCGACGGGGGAGCCACAATTTATCAAACGATTATTTTGTTTTCGCTCGCCACGTTCGTTCGTAATGATAGAATCCGGATAATCTCGATTTCGAAGCGCGGCCAAAGTTTCTTTTCTTTTTCTTTTTTTTCTTTTTCTTTTTTTTTTTCTCTCTCTCTCTCGTAAGTTAACAAAAAAAAGTCGCGAACATCGATCTTTCCAAGGCGGGGGAGGGGGAAGGGGAGGGGGGGGGAGAAACGGAAAAAGACACTCCTGTCAAATATATATAATCAAATGTCTCTTGGGGGGGGGGGTTTCTCTTGATTTGTCCAATCATCATGCTAGTTTGGGTTTATTATAGACTCTCTCTCTCTCTCTCGGGCCAGGCCGCCACGGTTTCGTTCGTTGCGTCCCACGGCGGTGCAAAGTGGAAACTTCCTGCGCTCGTCAGACATCATACGCGAGGCAAGATCGCTTCTTTTTCCACGGCAGTTTTTCGCGGAGTTTATCATTACATTGTAAATAATAATTGTAAGCGACGGCGAGATATATATTGAATATCGTCTATTTTTATCGAGAGAGTGATAGGGAACGACCAATAACGGGGGAAGGGGGAGTGGGTGGGGGAAGGGGAGGAGGCGTGATACGAATAATAATAATAATAATAATAATAATAATAATAATAATAATAATAATAATAATAATAATAATGATAATAATAATAATAATAATGATAATGATAATAATAATAATAATGATGATGATGATGATGATGATGATGATGATGAAAAGGGTGGCGGAGGAAACGCCGGTTGAACGAATGAATCGAAACGGGATTTCAAATGCACGGAGTCGCTGTGACGATATACCAAAACGATGTTTATCGGATTATAAATATAGGATTCGTAGAGGTTAAGAGTTAAGAGGAGAAGAAGAAAAAAGAAAGAAAAAAGAAAAAAAAAAGAAAAAAAAGCAAGTCTCGATAAATAACCTGGATCTTGATTCTTCGAAACAACGAGATATTATACATTTCACCGATATTATTAACGAAGAGGAGGAGGGGGCTACTACTCTTTTGATTAAATTTTTTTTTTTTTTTTTTTAATTCTTCCAAAATTCGTGAAATGATTCGACAAATACGATATATACATCAATATTTCGAGAGAATATAAAGTATATAGAATAATATAATGGAGAATGTTTTGAGAACGGTTCAGGTTATTCGTCGAAGATGCGATGAAATGAAACCGTTTGCTCCCCCGGATGGAGCAGTGGGGGGGGGGGCAATCTAGCAATGTAATTAGCAACAGTTTTAAGCGAGGGAAGGAAAAAAAGAAAAAAAGAAAAAATAAAAAAAAAAAAAACAAAGCGCACGAACACTTTAACAAAAGAACGTTCTATTAAGTGTGACGTTATATTCCTTGATGATCATTCTATCGATAATTGTATATAGCCTGTACGATAATTTGAACGTATTTGGGCACAGTACGTACGATGCTTACGTTTATATCGATCGGGTAGAGACAAGATCAAGATACAAGTATCGTGAGTAAAAGTAAAAGTGAAATCAATAATAAATAATAAATGTTTCGTAATTTACAACAATTCACACGTTTCCCTCTGTGAAATTTCCCTCCCCTTCCCCCCTCCCCTCCCCTCGAGATACAATGGAGATTATTTATTTATTTATTATTTATTATTTAGTACGGTCAGTCATTGCTCCTTCTATCCGTATCGAGTATCGAGAAATATTTGGAATATTCCGTTCGATTTCAATTCCCTCTCCGTTTACAGAATTCCGTTCGATGATTGGACGGTTTGGAAAATTCAGAGAGTCTAAGATTCGTACCCAACTCGTTATCGTTGCTCGAGATGGAATGTTTTTCATCGAACGGAAAATTAAAAATTAACTCGATCATTACTTACGAAAGGGAAAGAATCGAATTGAATCGAAAAGATTCCAAATTTTTTTTTTTTCAAATTTCTATTATTATCCGTGAAAATTTATCGTTCCGTTCGCGTTCCCTCTTTCCCCTCCCCTCTCCCTCCCCTCCCCTTATTATCGCCAACGTGAAAAATGGACATTTCGGTTATTATAGATTCATTATCCCGCTTGTTTTCTTTTTTTTTTTTTTATTCGGTTTTCTTTTTTTTTTTTTTTTTTTTTTCCGTTCGCGACACATCACTCGCGCGGGAAACAAACGATAGCCGAACCGGAGCCGAGGTAAACTTGTTAGTTGACGGCGTTGACAGTATCTCATCCATATTACGTATGTAAAGTATGCGCGCATATATTTACCGGTTTACACGAGGTGGTGTCCCTCGCGCCTGTAATAAATCATTTCCCCATTTCGAAAGGAAGGAAGGAGGGGGAGGAGGGGAAGGGACAGCACCGATCGGGGGGACGGAGAAGGAAACGAAAAAAACAAATAGATAAGCGCGAGTTCTATGAATCATGGAAACGCCGATAAAACGCGACGAACTTCATGGAAAGCTTTTCGAAGCTTTTCCTCGAAAAATTCCGTTCCCTGGATATATATCGGAAAAATTAATTTTTTCTACTTTTCTACTTTTTCAAAGAGTATCGTCGAGGAGATATCGACTCGCGATGCAATATCTCGGGAGGGCTCGAGGCTGCTTGCTCGCTGTCTCGTTGGACCGCGATGCGTGCGGCGTTGCCGTGGCCGCGCATGCGCGAGCACGTGCGCGATTGCCGCAGCCTCGGGATATGCCGCAGCACCAGCCTTGGGAAGAAGGGTGGCACCCGGAAAGCGAGCGAGGGGCCGACCCTGCACGACCCTGCCTCCGCCCATGCGACCAGCAGCCCGGCCAACAGCCGAGATAACCTGCTACCACCCGGGATCGAAAGTCGGACGCGTCCTTTCTCCTCTCTCTCTCTCTCTCTCTCTCTCTCTCTTCTT